TATAGAAAGACTTTATATTTTGACATAAAAATATCCTTCTATGTTCGAATGTCTAGTGTCATTGTTTGAATGTCGAGGGGGGTTACGGTGAAGCTGTAAACATTTTTTTTATTAAAGCGAGCTTAACTGAAATGTCTAGTGAAGATGGGCTGAAAGAAATTCTTTCAACTTTAATTTCAAGTGAACATGGTGGATGGTTTAAAGACAACTAATATTATCTGTGCCCATACTTGTAGATCTTTCATTGAGCCAATTATCAATATTATTTTAAGAGTTGTTTCATATAAATTATTAGATCCAGATGTACTGTTTATATTTTTGTGTATGCAGTATCTGAAGAAAATCAACAATAAACATTTAATAATTCGTTTCACAATTTTAAAATGATAACAAGTCTAGAAGCGCTTTATTAACTTGAGTAATAATTCCGGTATTAGGAAATCTTGCGGTTTTACTTTTAATTTTATTTTTGTCAATACACGTGAATGTTGCGTGTTTAAGAATTTAGATGAACATTATCCTAACAGAAATAGATACACTGTATATACTGTACGTAAACTTGATTATTGTCAAGATTCATTGAGTCATTGGAAAATGTTGGGTCATGGCGCATAAAACATTTTAGATATTTAAATTAATATAAATGAAATTCTTTCAGATATATGCGCGCGAGTTTTATTTTTATGATTGACATAAAGATTTTTATATATAGTCACGAAAAAATTTAAGTTAGATTATCTGTCACCTATGTAATAACGCCCAATTTATTTAACTAATATACATAAAAATACTATACATGGAGCACCATAAGTACGTCAAATCTCTTCTGCATCACTCTCACCACTTTCGATTCCTCCATCATCAACCAACATCCTATTGTCTGGCCTCCTGATTGGTCTTCCACCAAACATTTCTTCATCATCAAATATATCATTAAAGTCTTCTCCGCTACCCATACCGTTACTCCCAACCAAACTCAATACAACCGGCAATAACACAAGCCCATGCAAAGCTCCAACTATCACCATAGCAACATACATTCTAAAGTAATATACCTCGAATATCTTGCTCCGCGTAAACGCCAGTACCAATATTCCGAAAAATTTCGTCATGGTGATTCCGGCAAATACCGAACTACCAACATCGATTATTGACCTATAGGCCCTTTCATCTTTATCCACGCCTGCTCCACCAACTATAAATGCTCTCACGATGTGCACGCAAAACTCTACACCTATCCCTACACATATTACAAGGTTCACCAGACTAACCGCATTTAGAGAAACATT